CTCTCCCACACATAAATTTCAATCAGAACAAATAAATTGCATATTCTTTAAACTTATACTTTACTTATAAATGCAAAGGCATCCAACTTACTTAACAAACTAATACAGAATTTAGAAATACTATATGTAAATTTATATAAAACATGGAAGTTTTAAACAGTCATAGTCCTTCATCATCAGCAAGTCGTCATTCATTGGAAATGTATTTCCAGATCATTGGCTTTTTCATTATATATAAAGTTAAAGCTTAAAAAGGAGGATAGTTAAAAAATATTGGCAATCATTTTTATAGAGTATCAGGGGTCTCTGAACTCATATCAAATCGTTTTGCATCCTCATCCTCTGAAGCTTGCTTCATATCTACAAAAAATTAATTTAAAGTTAAAGACACAGTAACAAGGTGATTATGCTTGTTATTACCTGGGGACCACAATTCGGCATAACAACTGGAACAGGGCTTACATTGCTTGATTTTTTATGTTCAAGAGGAGCCTCACTCATTTTTGCTCTCAACTGTTGTAAATTTTAATTAGTAACTGAAATTTAAATGGAAATAAATTTAAATCAGTGCTTACCTCACTGATTTCTTCTTCCAGTTTTTCATTTTTCTCTTTCTGTTCTTGAAGTGCTTGTTCAACAGCTGATTTTTCAACGCGCAACACTTTTAAAACACCGGCTCTACTTTCATCAAGCCCTTTTATATTTTCAAGATTTGTTTCACAAGACTCTAATAAAGACTGCTTGTGCTTTTCAGATCTACAATGATAAATATAAGAAGAAGTTGATATTGTTATATTCATATTATATTGTGATAAAAATTGTTATTGTATTGAAGTTATTTGTAAAATATTGAATTTAAATCAAGTCTATCTATCTTTCTATCTGTTATTAAACCTACGTTTCTAGTTCCTTTATCCTGTCATCTTTCTCATTAAGTTGGTCACTAAGTGAACGCAATTCTTTAGTAGCCTTTATTTGATTTGCATTCGATAAGCCTTCTGCAGCTTCCAGTCTACTTTCTGCAATGCTTCTTTCGCTATCACATAAACTTTTCTGTGATGAACTAAAAAAATCATTACAACCATTAAAACATATAATAAAAAGAAATATGACATATGCAGATTGTTTTCTAATTGAATTAGGTTAGTTTAACCTTTTACATAATTAGATCATCTATATCATTTATATTTACCATTTTTTCAACTGATCGCCCATCTCCTCGAGCTCTTTAAGAATGTCATAATTTTGTGATGATAGTGTCCACCAGTTGCATGTTAATAAGACGCAAGCTACTAATAAACCCGCTACAAGGAATGGGGGGCATCTTCCTGAATTCACACGCATTGTATCGAAACCCATCTGGAGGAAATTATAATTAATAAATATAAAAATGATAAAATAATTCTTTAAATAAATAAAATTTTGAAGGTCTGTCATTTCACTAACAAAAATGGAGAAGGTAGGTAAAAAGATTTAGAACTTAATTAAATTAACTAATTTATGTTAATATATAGGATGCAACAAACTGCTATGCAAATAAAACCGATGACTCCGAATTATCTAATAAATATTTATTTAAATTGGATAAGTAAAATAAGATATTTTTTATGTATGATTTGTCAAGAAGTTTTAATGTATATTATATCATTTTAACGAATTCAATCACAAATGACCAGTAATTTATGTCTATTAACGGCTTTAACAGCCATCAAATAAGTTTTCTTATTCATTATTAAAACCACGTATTATTTGTTTACTCTACCTCAGTCAGATCTCTAAAGTTGCTTTATCATAACCAATTCTGTTTTTACGAAGGATTAATCGTATCTATTACAATATTTAAACGATTTAACGATGCACAATTATAAAATTACTTGTTAAATTGTTAAACAATTATCATTGAATAATCTTTTGCAAAATATTTGACAGCGACAGCTTTGCATGTGGCATACATGGTGTTGCCAGATTAGATTTTAGCGAAGACGTTGGTAGGCGTGGCTTAACGCAATGGGCGAAAAAAATACAAATTAAAATTAAAAAGTTAAATATATTCAATTAAGGTGGATTATTTTAAAATTTGTTGTAAAAATGAATTAGAATGTCTTCTAATATAATATCTGGTTGATATAAAAAGAAAAAAATGGGTTTCCCTAATCATGAACAGTAGTGTTTAATATAAGTAATATCACTCATTATTAAACCATATTGTATTATATGTATATACTAGTCCAATATATATTTATAAATATCAATATTTTACGGTTTATTAAAGAATTGAACTAAATATCATTCTTATACTTTCTTTCATTTGAATTTGGTGGGCGTTACTTAACTCAGTGGGTGTATCCAATACAAAAAACCTAATTTTACGGTTGGTTTTAAATTTTAAAATACCGTGAAAAATTCAATTGAAACTAAATTATTTAACATTTTATATGCTTTTTTTACACCCAAATCATCTGATAACTATATATATGTATTTTAAATTAAATTGTGATTATTTTAATGAATATATATATATATATATATCTATAATATTTGTATATATATATATTCTATAAATGGTAGTTAATTCTGTAATAAAAACCCATACAAAATATATATAGTTCAATCATTGAACATATATTTATAAATACTTGTTTATTGTATACATAAAATATAATAATGAGTGATATTTTATCAATATTCTTAATCTTTTATTAACCTTATTCCCAGTCGGTATCAGTTTCACTCTCAGTGTTTCTTTCTAACTTTGGAGGCGGTGGAATCATTGCTGATATTTTATCCATGACACTTCCATCACCTCGATCTTTACTCATAACATTAGGAGAGCTATCTGATTTACTGCCAGAGATTCCTTTACGTCTCATTGATAATTTAGCATGAAGATCTGCCATAAGATTACCAGGTCCGGAGGTTGATGATGGTTTCTTTTCTACAAACTCCTGATAAAACATAATATATATTATTGATGTATACTATTGTATCAGATAAATTTTGTTCATCATATTACATACATCTTGTAATGGTTTAGCGGCCCTAAGTTTAGCCTTTCCTACGCCTCCAGCTTGTCTAATAGCAGCCATTAAATTTGCTCTACCGTCTGGGACCGGATGATGCTTTTGTTTGAGATGTACTGACAGGTTCTGAAAGCGTTGGTGGCAAGGGAGGTGGTGCTAACATTGGAGGCCTAATAATAAATATACCATAAAGTCCAGGATGTAAATGTTAATTAATATTAAAGTATGTCATTAAATCCTTACGGTGGAGGTGGTACTGAAGGTACTGCAGGAATGGAAATATTTTGAGTATTTAGTTTTAACTCAGGTTGTTCATTAACATTTGATGTATTCTTTATTGCATTTTTATCAGTTTCATCAATTTTCTTTGCTTTCTCTGCAGAAACATCTATAAATAGATGAATATAAAAAAATATTGAATAAAAATAAGAATGTACTCTCACATACCTGGCAATTTTATGTCTGGTGATTCAGATATGCTTTGTATACTTCTATTGTCGTCAACAGAACTACTGCTTTTAATTTCTGATAAATCCGGTAAATCTAGAATAGTATTACTTGGGCTATTAAGCAAAGACGGTGCTATAGCCGGCCCAGATTCAATAAAATCATAAGATATATCATCTGCTATACCTGGATGCAAAGATTTATATAAATATTAAAAATTTATTTAATTATCTCAAAATGTACCTGGCAGATCTGGTAAGTCTATGGGTACATCTAATTGTGGCACCTCTCCAAAATTTGGAGAATAAAAATAAGCATCTGCATAATTTTTAATAGTATTAAATCTATTTGAAATGGAAATAGGTGCTTCTTCCATATCCATATTATTTGTACTATTTTTATCTAATCCATAAGCCTTGCTGTTGCTGCTAGAATTTAGAGGATCAAGAGAGACATATCGGTCATAAGGATTTTTTTTGTATTGTACAAAAGCATAGACGTCACTGAATTTATGTTTGGTGGAATAAAACCCAGCCCTTCTTCAGGAATTTTCTTTGCCTCAGTCCTAAAAACAACATTGAATTAGAATAAGTAAACAATTGTACACCATCTTTTATTACTTTTTCTTTTCATTGGATTTAACATGAAAGAAATGCAATCTTTCATTGAGCAGTTTTTCATCATATTCCAAAGGTTTTGAGATAATTGTGGCATCACGTTTGAATCTTAAGCTTTCATCTCGTTTAAAAGTGGCTTTTGGATATTTGTGGACGTGACTTGCTGGATATTTGGCACTTGAATACACAATTGTTGCCTTTTTGCTGCCAACGAGTTTATTAATTTTTTCATTGGCTTATCTATGCGCTCCTTAAGAGCTGCTGTTCTTTGATAATTTTCATCTATTCTAGCATCTGGAAATGGAAATATAAAAATCATAAAGGAAATAAAATGGAGTCATTGGTAGTAGAGCTATATTAAATGATTGCTTTGTGTTTAACTAAATTAGATGTGTATATTCAATTTATTAATAATAAAGGGCTTTGTTGAAATAATCTATAATGTTTACATATTATAAAACTTACCTATTTTGTAAACACATCATTAACCGTATTTGTCAAATATTCCAAAGAATTTGCAATTTTAAAAATTGTTGTTTCAACTGGCAAGTCGGAATGAATTATTGGCACGTTGTAAATGTCCTGCATTTTCATGTATTAACTAAAAAGATGACCAATTCTTTATTATGCACAATCACTAACTAAAATTCATGTTTATTTACAATATTTAATTTTTTCCACTGACATATTTGACGTACGTCATGATTAACCTTAAATCGCTGACAGTTTGAGCCATACAATATGAGAATAATATCTAGACTAAATAAAATAATATATTAATCACTTATTGATTGAAATGTAATAAAAATAAACCAAGTATAAGAAATAAAAATAAATTAAACAAATAGTGATAAATGCCTGTGAGATTCTTCATATTTAAGTTTTATATTTGAAATTCGCGCTCTTTGTGATGGTGGCAGCCATGTTTCTTGACAGTTTAAATATTTTAAACGAATCGATATAAACTTTAAAAATAAATCCATGAGTAGTAGTAGTTTACGGATTTTCAAACAGTATACATACTTAGTTATAGAATATTTAATATAATACAAGTAGAGCGAATTTCAAAGTTCCAGTGGCAAATTGCTAGTAGTAAGAGCTATATTACCCTATGGGAAGTGAATAATTGAAACACATACTATAATATAATAAATCTTGCATGATATATTCGTCAATGACTGAAAATAATTTATTTTTATTAATAACTATTAAGTATTTATAAAAATTTACCCAAAAAATAAATATAAGAGCAAAAGTCAACTGCTCCAATATCTGAATGGCACATTCTCCAAACTGTGGTGGGCCACATATTAATTGGTATGTAGGCTTTGGTCGATTGGACAAAATATCCATTAAACTGCTTTTACTAATTCTGCCGTGCTCTCCATTCCATTGTGCATGTGGCTCGGTTAACACAAAAGTCACACTAAACCGTGGATGCTTCTGTTGAAGTTCCAACAGTTTGTTTCTTATCAGTATATCTTCTTCTTCCTTGTTATAGTAAACTAATAATATAGACTTTGTACCATAGCTTTTTCTATCTAGTAAGTAGATAATTAGGTTTAAAAAAGGTGTAATACCAGTTCCACCAGCAAGGAATAAGAAGTCTGAGTGTCCTTCCAAAGATTTTAAATCAAAAGTTTGCACACTTGGTTTTATCAGTACTGGTAATGGAATAGTTACATCATATAATTTCGATGTCAATTCACCTTTAGGATATAGCTTAATCAAGAGTGAAAAAAGTGCATTTTTTGGGGGACTACTTGTGTATGAAATATTTATTGGTGTATAACATCGCTCAACATCAATACCTGGTTTATCAATTTTCATGATCACATGACCTCCTAAGGGTAAATGTAACCCCGCAATATTATGATTTTCTAGGGTCATGATGCAGGTGTTTCGCCCTACCTTTTCCTGCTGGACAATAGTATAATTATCAAACTCCCCAAATTCTTGACTCACATCCACTTTCGATAATTTTCCAAAATTTTCCCACATACCCTCTTTCACTTTAAGACATTTCAGTTCAATCTTTCCAGTATGATGTGTGACAATAATGTTACATGAAAACTTTACTTCGTACAATGGATGTAGGTGTACTTAAAGTACTCCTTGGCATATTGTAATGTGATTACCAAATCGTTGCAAGAACTCCTATTTACACAAATGTATGGGTTTGAAAACTTGGCAGTATAAAAAACAAAAGTAATCCATGACTGAGTCTGCATCCAATCAAAGCGTGGTGATTGCTTTGTATTTTTAAAATTCTGTGTACTTGAATTAAAAAGGGTTTCATCAAGTTTTTCTATTGGATCAATATGTTTGTTTACTTTATTTGTTTCTTTTTCATATTGTTTTTCATTTACACTTAAACTATTAGAAATATTTTGACTTAGTTTTGGCTTGGGTAAGTAATCAACCTGAGGCAATCTTGGTCGCCTCAACATATTTTTACTGCTAAAATTTAATTCGTCTAGGGGAGATGGTATATCTGAAACCAAGGGTCCAATAACACACTTCTGCAGTATTGTCTGATAATTTACCCAAGCATGAGCAGCATCAAAAAGTGCAGTAGCATCTTTACCTGCACCTCGCATTAATTCTTCATGTCCTCCTGGATGAAAACTTAAATACCTCGTTACATTAAAAACTTGACCCCTAATTGCCAGCCAAAGATCATCTGCAGATGCATGTTTGCAAAGTTCTGCTTTATTTACTCGAATAATTTTACCTTTGGTACCAGATAAGTCAACTCCAGAATTTCCTAACCGTATCCAATCCATTAGAGAGTGTCCAGGAGCCAAAGCTGTTTTGTTTCGAGGATTGCCAGTGGCAGAAGAGCTTGATAAAAGAGCCCTCGGAGTCTTCTTGTCATTTTCAAGCTTTGAGTTCGTATTATCTGAATCCGATAATCGCGATTTGCGATCACGAATATCGTTCGTGGGGCGCATCTTGAAATGCCGATAGTTGAATAACAAAGTTATTCCCCAATAATTTACATATATACAAAATAATAAAAGTTTTCTTGCATTTTAGCTAGTTTATCACCAGATACAAAACGAACCTGCAAGCATTTAATGAAAGTTTCTAACCCTAAACAATACTTTATTATTATACTATTACTTTTTTACTTACACTTATCATTTTTCTGGCATTTACATTCAGAGCTAAGGAAAGCTTCTTACGTCATGGTGCTGTCCAAGGTTCATGTAAAATAATGAAATATTATAAATGGAAGTAAATTAAACAAATAATGACAAATGTCAGTGAGATTCGCCATAATTAGATTTTATATTTGAAATGCGCGCTCGTCGAGACGGCCATCTTTCTTGACAGTTTAATAAAAGCGCGAATTTCAAATATAAAATCTAATTATGATGAAAATCACTAACATTCTTCATTATTTCTTCAATTCATTATATATATATATATATATATATATATATTATAATGAATATATTTATATTATCTAATTTTCCTTATTACTAATTACTACTTCCATTAAAATAAAACAATTACATGTAATTAGGTAACAAATTTATTTTTGAAATTTATAGTATTTTTTATTCAATCTTATGTTCAGCTCTCCTGTCCGGTATAACAAAGAAAAAAAAAAGAAAACATGATACGCCTGCAGTGATCGGCTCAATAGAATATTATACATGATTAATGATTTTTTTTGTTTAGTTTATCTCCTCATATATACAAGCATGTCTACATATTCATACATTTACATATACAAATAAAATAATTATAAATAAATACAATAATAATAGATACATGTTTATATGTTTAAGAATCATAATGTGTAAGTACATCAAATTGCATATAAACATATATCCATGTACATATATATGCAAATGTAAATATATATATATTTTCATACACTCATTCGTACAATTTCAATTATTCACAAGATGGAACCCCTTAAGAGCAGTTTAATCGATGAGGTCCTTTTTCTTAGGTGAATTGTCTAAGTAGATTTTGAGGGCTCGCTCTCTTCTTGGCGAATGTGTTGATGTTAAGCTAGATTGTCTTCCAAATCGGTGGCCCTCTTTTGCCATTATCTCACGCTTCTCTTCGGCAGTCAATTCTTTCAGTTCTTCATTCTTGTCCCTTAATAGATATAAAAAAATATAATATAAAGAAATATAATAATAAGAGTTCTTTGAAAATTTGGGAATAGTTGCCAAAGATAATAAATATATAAATATATTATTCTATTAATTTTATTACCTGTAATAGAAAACACTGCCATCTTCGTAAACGTGAAGAGGGAAAGAATCCAATGTATTGGCTTGCGGATTCCATTCTTGGTCGTTGTGTATTGTCAGTACAGATGTTTCACAAGGGAAATTGTTTGGTGCCTATTTAATAAACAAAATAAATAATAATCTCTTATTTTTTAAATTAAATCTTTATGTGACAACACAAACCTTTGCAATTTCAATGTCTTCAACTGCTATTCCAGATAAATGGTGTAACTTTTCTTTTAATTCATCTATTGTCAGACCTAAAAAGAAAAAAAATATATACTAAGAGTGGATAGTCAAAATAGGCCAAAGAAATAAAATATTGAAATAAAAAAATATATATTTAGAAAGAAATAACATAAAATTACCAAGAAAGTTGTACAATGTAGTTGAAATACATAAGTCCGATATTCAAACACAAATTATTCAAAATTTTAGTATCAAAGTGTATGTAACAGTTTGTACTAGATTTTAATAAATTTTATCTAGTTTTTATTAATGTAAACAAATTATAATGTCTGGAATAAAAATTAAAAGTTATTTGAAGAAAACTAAAAAAATGTCCCAAATCCTTGTATTGCAAATTGTCAAAACACTAAAGTCTGCATTTCAACGAATTGTACAAAATTTCAATATCAAAGTGTATGAAACAGTTTTTACTAGATTTTAGTATATTTTATCGAATTTGTACTAATGCAAACAAATTATAATATCCGATATAAAAATTCTATAAGTATGTTAATAATAATTAATAATTCTAATAATAATATTAATAATTCGATAAGTTATTTGAAGAAATGTAAAAAAATGTCCCAAATCCTTATATAGCATGTTATGGAAATATTAAAGTCCGCATTTCAACTACAAATTATTCAAAATTTCAATATAAAAACGTATATAACTGTTTATACTAAATTTTAGTAAATTTTATCTAGTTTTCACTAATATAAGAAATCATAATATCCCAAATAAAAATTAAAAGTAGTTCGAAGAAAACCAAAAAGATGTTCTATATATATATATATATATATATATATATATATATATATATATATATATATATATATATATATATATATATATATATATATATTGCATGTTATAGAAATACTAAAGTCCGCATTTCAAAGACGAATTATTCAAAATTTCAATATCAAAGTGTATGAAACTATTTTTACTTGATTTTGTAAATTTTATCTAGTTTCTATTAATGTATACAAATTATAATGTCCGGAATGAAAATTAAAAGTTATTTAAAGAAATGTAAAAAAATGTCCTAAATCCTTGTATTGCAAATTATCAAAGTACTAAGATCCACATTTCAACCACAAATTATTAAAAATTTCAATATCAAAATGCCAAATAATAGTTTTACTAGATTTTAGTCAATTTTATCTAGTTTTCACTAATGCAAGTAAATTACAATGTCCGAATTAAAAATTAAAAGTTATTTGAAGAAAACTAAAAAATGTCCTAAATTCACATTTTGCATGTTAGGGAAATACTAAAGTCCGCATTTCAATTACGAATTATTCAAAATTTCAATATAAAAACGTATGAAACTGTTTTTACTATATTTTTGTAAATTTTATCTAGTTTTTATTAATGTAAACAAATTATAATGTCTGGATTGAAAATTAAAAGTTATTTTAAGAAAACCAAAAAAATGTCCTATATTCACAAATTGCTGATTATCAAAATATTAAATATACTGAATACTAAAATAAACATGGAAAAATTAAATCAATTGAAACTAAACAAAACTATTAACTCTTTTAACCGATTTTAAAGTTAGTAACAATCAAACGGTTAAAAATACCTATATCAGGTATTTTTACCTGCCACATTCAAAAAGTGTTAATAATAATTAAAATTCTTCAACAGTATCACTTAATATTAAAATAGCTTTTAAATTTAATGAGATCCATGACATTGCAACAAAAGTGTTTAAAAAACTATTTCATCTAGTCTTTTCTTACCATCAAGCACGACTTCTTGAAAATCGTCCAATTTCAATTCAGAAGGCCTCCACCTCTTAACAAACAGCACCAGTTGATCCGGATTAGTTTTGATTTCAAACGAATGAGGTGCCGCATTATTTTCTACACAATTAGACGATTGTGCATTTCCATGTAAGGGCAACAGGTCCTGAATGAATATTTCCCAATTAGAATACAGTGAAATGTCATCCATAAAATTCATTGAATCCAGATAAATTTTGGCGGGGTTCTTCCAATTCTTCTTTCTCACACGCCATCTAGGTAAAAGACACATGAGAATTGTAAATGGTAGTAAATAAAAAATATTATGAGTATAAATACATACCTATCGTAAGGTGGTTCTAACTCAGGATGCCTTTGGAATAGTTCGGCTTTAAATTGAGCCACAGTGTACTCGTGTGATAAGATCCATTCGCACAATACTTTGAAAGGTTCACTGGAGTCTTTCTCTTGTAGTAAATAGATCTTGCCTCGGTATTCACCTGGACGTAAAGTTCTGCCCAACTTTATTGATAAATACTCTTCATCACTGTAAAAAGATAGTATTTGTCTTTGTTTATAATCTTATATATAAAAATGGATCGCAAAATGTGTTGGTAAGCGCATAGCTCAACAACGCCTGGACCAATTTGGACAATTCTTTTTTTAAAATGTTCGTTGATGTCCAAGGAGGGTTCTTACGGCGAGATAAAATTGAATAATTGCCGAGAAACCTCTAAAAACAGCCTTTCTTTTTCTCCTACAAACGTTTTCTAACTAAAACATAGAATCAATTTGAGCTTTATTGCTATTATATAAAGTTCATATTAAATTACAAGCACTCACTGATACTCCTCCTAAACGATTATTCGGATTTTGATAAATCTTTCTGAAGTTTGTTAAGGAAATTTTATAGGATGTATGTGATTATGAAGTACTGGGATGTGTGCAATATTGTAGAAATAAATGGAACTAGTGGTGTATAGCATCGCGCCTTAAGGCAAATTGCTGGAACTTCCCGTACCGTAACGAAATATTCGAGAAATTTTAAACGTTTTCAAATATATTATTACAAATACTGTAACTTTCATTATTTTTGCTATCTTGTTATATCTTAGCAAATCAAATGTAAATCATAAATCAATCAATTTATCTCTAGAACATTAACAATCGTCATTTCATTTCGAATTCAATTTCAAAAAAAAAAAAAAATAGTTGCCTAATTTGAACACAAAATTGAAAAAGGTGCTCCCGTATAATTCTATGCGACATTTTCATTTATACTGTGCTTAGCTTGGCGGCATTGTCACATTTTTCAATAGTTTTCACAAAATTGGAATAGTGCTCCAGTACATAAACAGTCTAAACGCACTTGGGTAAACATTTGTACCAGAGTAGCGCTTAGACTGTGCTTAGCCTGGGCAGTTTTTTGAATTTTTAATCCAAGATTACAAAAATATTTTATGGAAAATAAAAAAAAATGTAATAATTTTTTATCCTCAAAAACAATTGTTTTGTCAATACAAGCAGAAAGTTTTTTAGATCATGCAAATCGGACGCTTAGTTCTCTCAAAAACTGCCATTTTTTTAACATTTAGCTCTGTATCTCCGAAACCGCTGGGCCTACCTTTGCACAAAACTAATAACCACTAATAACCAACCGTCATTACGAACTGAATGTTTTTTGGATCATACAAATCGGATGATCCGTTCTCTCAAAAACTCGATTTCTATTTTCTGCACTTTTTGCTCCGTATCTCGGAACGACTGGACCTGCCTTTGCCAAGAACTAATCAGCACATCTCCCCATCAATAGGAATCGAATGTTTTTTAACCATTCAAATCGGTTGATCCGTGCGCCCGAAAACGTGGACGAAAAAATGCGGACATACAAAACACCCACACATCTATTTAGTTTCTGAGGTATGCCAGTAAAATGTTCAGAAACCTTCAAAACGTCGAGAAGTTAATAAATATTATTTTTAGATAAACGCTAAATATTAGTATATTATATTAAAAAATTGTAGACATGGGTACAGGACAACTTTTGTCGGGTCATCTAGTTGTCTATAAATAATATTTTATTATTACTATTATTATCTTACCGGAAGGTTGTAATGTTGTCTTCATATCGGGAGCACTCAGTTTCCTGTCTAGCCGGATAAATACGGAACAATTTAAAGTAGTCGATAGGCACTCTAATTTCAGCAGACAGAAAATGCTTTAAGGCTCCTACTGTCATTCTCTTGTCAGCCAACACCTAATAAAACAGACAATATATATAAAACCAGTTACAAAATAATAATAATTAAACATAGTCCGGTACACTTACTCTTAAATTATTACTAGGTTTATTATTCACATTATTATGTGCAAAAGTGGGATCTAAATAGAACTTGGTGACTCTAAAGAAGTACATCGGCGAGGGATCCATTTCATCTAGATCAGTTGTCTGGACATTTTGTTGTGTTGTTGCCTCATCACCTTGCAGAGCCTCATTCGGTGTATTCAATTGTTGTTCTGATGCATAATAGTATTTGGTTGAGAGATTGTCATTGATCTGTTTCAAATTATCTTCATCCAGCTGCTGGATGCCTTCCATTTCTACTGGGGGTTCACCGATTAATGTCCTAGGTAAATAGAAATAAAAAAAATAGAAATAGAAGATAATTTAAGTATTTTTTGTCTCATTGTTGTTTTTATTACCTGTCGCTATCACTTAAACTGCTGTCCTCGCTGTTCTCCCATTCCCCAAGAAGTGGCGTCGGCGACTGGTTGATAATCATTTCATTCGAATCATAGAAAGTCTTATTCACATTGCCATCATTGTGATTGACTGCACCCAGAGATAAATCTTGTTGCTGATTAGTTCTTATTTGCTGCTTTGCTGATGATAAACTCAAATTGGTTGCAGTTGTCGAAGAAACTAAATTAACTTGATTGTCGTTGGAGTCATAACTGGGTATCGCCATTGCATCTAGAGTATCTGGGGAAATAGAATTAAATTCAAAGTATTATAATAAAAATCATATTATTAACACACCTCTAGTTATTTTTAATTACTTAAACAACAGAGTTGTATTTAATTATCACTTCTTAAAGTTGCATTTAATTATGAGATTAAAAAATAACTTAATTGAAATAAAAACTGTGCATTTATTTATTGAAAATGGAAAACCGTAACAGCTAGTGCTAAAATGACAAACTTCTTTTCACATTTAAACAAATAAATAAACTAGTTATAAGAGTAAGTTTTTCTCAAGGCAATAAAATTAAAAACCATAAACTTCTCCTTCAACAAATTAAATATTAATGTGTCTTCTATCTTACCTTTATCCAATGGGGGCAACGTGAAGTTCAAAGTGATAACATATTCAAACAAATCCACAATCTTCTTCAACTTGCTGCTTATGAATTTCAAATTTGACACATTCGAATCTACATGATCATGATGATTAGCAATTAGTCCACCACTGCCACTTCTCTCAACAAAATTAATTACGTCTGTCGGGTCTAATCTTGTAGAAATAAAGAATCGGTTCTGTCCGAAGGAGCACTCAGTTCTCAACATAACTTTGTCGTCGACTAAATTAGAGCCGTTATAATATCGATCGCAGACCACGTGCAAATTTTGGGGCTGCGAAATCGGGATGTGGAGATCGTTCACCAGTTGTTTTTTGAAATCGAGAATGGTTTGCTGGGTATTACCTGGGATAAAAGACAAATGGTAAATGGTAAATGATAAATGATATATATATATATATATATATATATTTTGTAGAGTTTCGAACAAGAATCCAAAAATAATACAAAATAAAAAACAAGAAAAGTTTTTAAAAAAACAATTTCTTTATTTAATTATTTGTTTATTGTCGACGTTTCGGAACTAGGTACGTTCCATCTTCAGGACATCTGTCAAGAAACATGATCTTGATGAGATTTTAGCAAACAATATGTTTAGGAAAAGAAAATAGATTTTTCTTAAATAATGAATTAAATTGTAAAAAATATATAATAATGTACAGAAATATGATAATATGTTCAAAATAAAAATGATAAAAATAAATGAGTGGATTATCAGAACAGGATATTAAACATAATAGAAAATTTTTTTTTTTGAAAGTTATGGAAATTTTTTAAGAAAAGGTTAATGACAAAGTTGAATTAATTACCTGTATGTTTGAATATTTGTTAGCACTTTTTCACTAAACAAGCTTTTTTAACAAAAATGATTTTGTGAGTTAATTTTCCGCCGAATAATTAGATTTTGTAAATCAAAATTACTAAAAAATTTGTCTTTTTTTTTTAAAAATTATTATTTGAAAACACAAATAATATTGTTCTCTGGATGTTGTTCGATTGGTTTTCGAAAATTAACTAAATGAAACTGGTGTGCCTTTTGTAACACGTGTAAACACTTGAACGAGAGATGTGAGATTGTATGTGTGTGTTTTTATATGTCAGGGTGTGAATACTTAAATTGTTGATCTTAAAAGGAAGTCGATATTAATTGTTTGTCAAAAAGTGTAAAAAATTTAAATATGAATCATGTAATAGGTTGTGATCTGATCTAATGTTGACACTGTTAGAAACATTTATGAGGATGAGACAACTCTCCGCGAATAACCTTCTAAAGATGCAACTTTCGTGATATAAAATCTTTGGAGTGAAATTAAATGAATGGGCGTTTTCTATAGAGTGTTGTACTAGGGTACTTTTGAAATTTTTTTGTTTTTGGTGGACCACACTAAACAAAAAAAAAATTTCAAAAGTACCCTAGTACAACACTCTATAGAAAACGCCCATTCATTTAATTTCACTCCAAAGATTTTATATCACGAAAGTTGCATCTTTAGAAGGTTATTCGCGGAGAGTTGTCTCATCCTCATAAATGTTTCTAACAGTGTCAACATTAGATCAGATCACAACCTATTACATGATTCATATTTAAATTTTTTTACACTTTTTGACAAACAATTAATATCGACTTCCTTTTAAGATCAACAATTTAAGTATTCACACCCTGACATATAAAAACACACACATACAATCTCACATCTCTCGTTCAAGTGTTTACACGTGTTACAAAAGGCACACCAGTTTCATTTAGTTAATTTTCGAAAACCAATCGAACAACATCCAGAGAACAATATTATTTGTGTTTTCAAATAATAATTTTTAAAAAAAAAAGACAAATTTTTTTAGTAATTTTGATTTACAAAATCTAATTATTCGGCGGAAAATTAACTCACAAAATCATTTTTGTTAAAAAAGCTTGTTTAGTGAAAAAGTGCTAACAAATATTCAAACATACAGGTAATTAATTCAACTTTGTCATTAACCTTTTCTTAAAAAATTTCCATAACTTTCAAAAAAAAAATTTTCTATTATGTTTAATATCCTGTTCTGATAATCCACTCATTTATTTTTATCATTTTTATTTTGAACATATTATCATATTTCTGTACATTATTATATATTTTTTACAATTTAATTCATTATTTAAGAAAAATCTATTTTCTTTTCCTAAACATATTGTTTGCTAAAATCTCATCAAGATCATGTTTCTTGACAGATGTCCTGAAGATGGAACGTACCTAGTTCCGAAACGTCGACAATAAACAAATAATTAAATAAAGAAATTGTTTTTTTAAAAACTTTTCTTGTTTTTTATTTTGTATTATTTTTGGATTCTTGTTCGAAACTCTACAAAATATACACAAATCCAAGACTCTACCATTCAATATATATATATATATATATATATATATATTTTACCTCTGATCATGATAGGTCCTTCAACTTCCTGCGTGACAACATCCACAATGAATATCCTAACATTGATTCCTCCTTGATAATAAGGCTTGAATAATGGCTCGTTTGGATTTTTGATTTCCAAAATCATTTCACAAGAGCTAGAAGACTTGTCGTGGTTTGCCAAAACTTCCAGAAGAGTATTTTGCTCTTCTCCTTCTAAACTGCACTCAATGCAATCATTTGTTTGATCATAGAACACCAAACGACAATTCTCTGCAAAATATAAATAAACTAGCTGTAAGTGGAATTCTGTCTTGAGGCAATTATGGCATCGTGCCTTAAGGCAAATTTCTGGAACTTCCCATACCGTAACGGAATGTTCGAGAAATACTGAATGTTTTCTAATAGATTATTATTAATATTGTAACACTGTCTAATATTTATAAGAATTATATAAGCTGAATTGCAAAGTTGAAATTATTTGTTTAAAGTATATTAGAACTATAGTCAGAATTAAAAATAAAATCTGAAATATTTTCGATATACAAAAAACTAAAAAAAAAAAAAAAGAAAAAAAAAAGTTTGGACAAATTTTTTTTCCCAAAATCAAGCAGAAAGTTCTTTGAATCATTCAAATCGGACACTTAGTTCTCTCAAAAACTGCCATTTGTTACATATTTAGCTCTGTATCTTTGAAATGGCTGGGCCTGCCTTTGCCAAAAACAAATTAACACTTCTCCCAATCATTACTAATTGAATGTTTTTTAGATCATTCAAATCGGATATTCCGTTCTCTCAAAAATTCGATTTCTATTTTCTGCACTCTTTGCTCCGTATCTCCGAAACGGCTGGACCTGCCTTTGCCAAAAACTAATCAGCTCTTTTCCCTATCAATAGGAATCGAATGTTTTTTGAACCATTCAAATCAGTTGATCCGTGCGCCCTAAAACGTGACTGGAAATTTGTATCCACACATACATACACACACACACACACACACACACACACACACACACATCCATTTTTTCTGAGGTATGCCAAAACGTTAAGAAACCTTCAAAACGTCGAGAAATGTAAAAATTTTCAATCCCGATTTTCGGCCCATTACAATAACTTACCCTACGGGAAGTTAAAAATATTGTTATCCTGTGTTTCTTGTCCTTTCTGTATCTATTACTATTATTACCTGGTCGAATAACAATGTCCCCAGATCCACAATTTGCTTTCTTCAGCACCCTCTCCACAGCCTCCTTGGTGAGCTGCTCCATCGATATTTCTGGATAAACAGGCATCCTGACCTCCAACAATTCTCCATAAGCAGTCGACATTATGGTGTCATCCCTTCTCTCGCTCTGCTGTGAATTAGCAGGTGTGTTCAGTGGCTGATTATGGAAACCAGGAATTGAATCGATGCTGGTGAAAAGTTTAACACGATGCAGGAGAGATTCTTTGTCATTTCGGCGCCTTCTGGGTTTATCACCGTTGTAATGACCGATTGCGTAGTCGGATTCATTCTCACGGAAATGTTGCAAAAGCTCCTGATGAAAAATAAGTTATATTTAGTAATTTGTGGGAATATAGTGGAATTAAATTGTGGTACCTTGATGTGTTCTGGAAAATCTTCTACTTCCATAGCTTGCACATTTCTTACGGGATCAATTTGTCTATACATGAGCATATAAGCATTTGTACTCGAACTGTATGCAGCAGAATAGTAACCGGCTGCTGGGCCTCCTAAACGAGATGGACCACCACCATATGAACGCTGAATATCCTCTTGGGTAATCTAGAAAACAAAAGACAAGTACAATTCTGTTAAATATTTGGATTTACACTGAAATTGATTAAGTATTTTAGGACCTTTTATTGATAGTTGTTTTTACAAAAAATAAATATTTGTAGGTTATATTTTTACATTTTTTAAACTTTCCCTCATTATTTATGATTAAAGGAAAGTAAAATATCTCTAAAACTACAAGAAAAGCCAAAAGTGTTATTGTATTAGCCCAAAAAATAAATTGTAGACCAAATATTTTCTTACCATTGTGACATTCTGATCATTAAAACAATACCAGTGCCCCGATTTAAAATCCTTAATATAAGCATAATAGTGCCCTCCTGAAGCCGAACCAGAATGAATCATTATCGAAAACAATTCATAAACATAAGGCCCTTCAGGTTGATCACAAGAATTCTGTGGGAGCTGATTTGTTCCTCCACTGTTTGTGGACATTGACATACCTATACCTTCATCATAATCCTGTAAAAAATATAAATCATCAACATAAACATAATTTTAAACAATTTTATCAGTCTGTTATATTTACTTGATTGTCACTGCCATTAGTGACACCGTGCAACATAGAATCTTTATCATAATCCAATCCACTATCGGTGGTCGATGTGTCATCAACAATTGACATATTTAAATTCTGTTTCAGAGCATTACTCTCATTCTCGGCTTCTTCATCAGGACGTTCTATAATAGGCTGGTCTGATAGGATAAAGTTGTTCAAATTTAATACCTCAGGAAATGTGACTCTGAGAAAAAATTAATATTTTAATATATAACATTTTAAATTAAATTATATAATTTAAATTATTACTTGTCATTTAGTTTGATTCTGTGCAGGGTGTTGTAGTCAAAGTCAAATCTTTTCAAATGTAACGTCAATAAATATGGAAAATGTTTAAATTTCAATCCTTTATGAGCGTCGCATTTATCTTGGCACGTTTCACAGTGATATTGATTTTGTCCTTCGAGAGTTTCAGGCTGAACAAAGGCTTTTAGGGCTTCTTCAACACTTCCATATGCACATGTACCCCCAAATGGACGAACAGGTAAAGGTATGTCTGAACAACAACAAAAATAAAATCAATAACCACAATTTTATATGAATAAAAATTTGTATTTTGCTTTTTTACCTAAAAATGTGTCCTCCCTTGATTTTTCAGTATTACATTTTAAACATTTCACATAATCAATCATCTTTCCTTGGTACAAACGGTTTATAAGATCAGCTTGTTCTGTTTTTCTAAACTTTTGCTCCAAAGCATCAAACATCACACGACATAACTCCTAAAAATAAAAAAAACAATACAAATTAAACATTTGATTGGCCAGAATTAAAAATACAACCAAAAGTCCATTTCCATCTGTACCTGCACATCATGCTGCTGCCATGCCTCAGTACTGTCCCATCCAAAACTCCTCGTCAGGTCAGTAGTTTCAACAGCAGGTCGTTCAGATGTTTGCAATTGCAAAAACAATCTCTGTAGTTGCAAAGGGATACTTTTGGCAGCAGCTGAAGCACTAGATTCATCTAAAATGTAGCTCCTAGAGAAAAAAAAGACTATTTTGTTGAAACAAGTTTTGATAAAGTGATTTTAGTTATTGCAGGACCAACCGTGATGATGAATCCACATGTTTCCAATTGTACAAGGCGTTCCTAAATTCAGGGGTCATATATAAGGCTTGAAGCAAACTGTTTAGGTAGCACGTCATTGCTTGGTTAACGAGACCGACGAAATATACTAGTAAAAAAATCATGGGTTCATATTTTTGTTGCACTAACTAATATGACTAATTTTTTTGAGTAATATTGTACCTTGTTCTCGGGGTGAATTTTGGGCTGGTGGATAATCATTCAAAGGGCTTGCAGAAGCTCCAAGTGCAAATTCGTCATCTTCTCCAATAGCCTAAAATAATAAACATGATTTATGTTAAAAAATCATTCACTAATTGTAATTGACAAACCAGCAAATAAAATTTTTGGCCAGAACAAACTTTAATAAGTTAATTAACTTCCCGTAGGGCAAGTTATAGTAATCGCAAAAAATCGAAAATGAAAATTTTTATATATCTTTACGTTTCAGAGGTTTCTGAATATTTTGGCATACCTTAGAAAAAATGGGATGTGTGTGTGTTGTGTGCGTAGTATGTATGTGTGTGCGGATACAAATTTTCGTCGACGATTTCGGGAACACGGATGAAGCAATTTGAATAATTTCAAAAAACATTCGATCCGTATTGATAAGAGACGTGCTGATTAGTTTTTGGCGGAGGTAGGTCTAGCCGTTCCGAAGATATGGGGCAAAAAGTGCCAAAAACGGTACCTCAGTTTTTAATAGAACGGAGAGTCCGATTTTAATAATTCAAAAAACATATTACTTGTATTGACAAGATAAAGATTTGATCAAATTTTTATAAAGGCAGGTTTAGCGGTTTCGGAGATATAACGAAAAAAGTAAAAAAAAATGCCATTTGACGGTCAAAAATGATCATTAGACATATGCACATCAAATATCAGATATTTTGTAGAGATTTTAAGAATAAGTATAAATTTTGTTTACATTCCTATGGGTTCCGTACCAATGTTTACCCGTTAGACAGCGACGCGGCGCTAACGCGCTTTATATTTTGTCTCTATGCATTTAAAGCAGTACGATTGCTTTGAAAAAAAGTTCAGATCTTCCACCATATGTCAAAATAAAGAAGACGTTTTTTTTTTAAAAAAAGATTTAAAAAAAAAAAAATTTTAATAATTTTTTTTTCAATTTTTTTTTTCAAAAAAAGTAATTTTTTGTCAAATTTATAGTTTCTCAAAAATCTTATTTTTTTGAAGTAATTTTTTTTCAAAAATGTTAATCGTTTTTAAAAAAAAATAATTTTTGGTACGGGAAGTTCCAGCAATTTGCCTTAAGGCACGATGCCCTAATTGCCTTAAGACAGAATTCCACTTACAGCTAGTTTTTATTACCTTCCTCCTATTTCTGTTCCTCAAGTGATTGATATAAATATGATTCCTACTCCCAGGTGTGAAAGACAAACCAGCCTCGTAGCAGGTTTTTTGAAAGAATTCATTTAACACAATCTGAAAGCGATGTTATAATAATAAATTGTGAGCAATTCATATTTCCATTAGTAATGGAATACTTACAGGAGCTGCGTCATTTGCAGATTTCAAATGCAACTCGAATTGTCCATTGGTGTATCCAAATTTCATGGCAATCTCGAGATACAGATCCATGACAGGGTAAGATGGCCGGACATAGACAGGCTCTTTAACTGGTTTGCCTGGGAATGACAGAAATTTTTTTATTAACTAGCTGTAAGTGGAATTCTGTTTTAAGGCAATTAAGGCATCGTGCCTTAGGGCAAATTGCTGGAACTTCCCGTACCGTAACGAAATGTTCGAGGAATACTGAATGTTTTCAAATAGATTATTATTAATATTGTAACATTGTCTAATATTTATAAGAATTATCTAAACTGAATTGCAAATTTAAAATTATTTGTTTAAGTTATATTAGAACTTTAGCCAGAATAGAAATAAAATCTGAATTATTTTCGATATACAAAAAAAAATATATATATACAAATTTTTTTTTCAAAATCAATTATTTTGTTAAGACAAGCAGAAAGTTCTTTGAATCATTCAAATCGGACGCTTAGTTCTCTCAAAAGCTGCCATTTTTTACATATTTAGCTCTGTATCTTCGAAATTGCTGGACCTGCCTTTGCCAAAAACTAATAAACACTTCTCCCAATCATTACTAATTGAATGTTTTTTAGATCATTTAAATCGGATACTCCGTTCTCTCAAAAAGTCGATTTTTATTTTCTGCACTCTTTGCTCCGTATCCCCGAAACGGCTGGACCTGCTTTTGCCAAAAACTAATCAGCTCTTTTCCCTATCGATAGGAATCGAATGTTTTTTGAACCATTCAAATCGGTTAATCCGTGCGCCCGAAAACGTGACTGGAAATTTGTATCCATACATACATACACACACACACATCCATTTTGTCTGAGGTATGCCAAAATGTTCAGCAACCTTCAAAACGTCAAGAAATGTAAAAATTTTCATTTTCGATTTTTGACCCATTACAATAACTTACCCTACGGGAAGTTAAAAATGACCCAGGTTAAGCCGCTTTTGAAAAATGTGAAAATGCCGCCAAGCTAAGCACAGTATAAGTGAAAATGTCGCACAGAATTATTCGCAAGTGCGTTTAGACTGTGACTATACGGGACGACTTTTTCAATTTTGTGTAAATTAGGCAACTATTTATTTTTGAAATTGAATTCGAAATGAAATGACGATTGTTAATGTTCTGGAGATAAATTTCAGATCAGAATCAGATATAACAAGATAGCAACAATAATGAAAGTTACAGTATTTGTAATAATATATTTGAAAACGTTTAAAATTTCTCGAATATTTTATTACGGTACGGGAAGTTTCAGCAATTTGCCTTAAGGCACGATGCCATACACCCTACTAGTTAAAAATAACTTTATTTACAAATGAGTCCCTTTTTCCCTTACCTGCATTAAGAGGAACATTGTCGTGAACGATGCAGACGATGCTGCCCTCGTCCGTCGACGACTGGTGATCGGAGAGGACCATTTGTCCAGATCCGGCCGCACCGTCTAGTGTGGCGCCGTTTCCGGTGCCGCCGGAACTCGGATTCATGCAGGACGTGTCCAGGTGCACCATCTTGCGGCTGCGATTGTCGGGTTAACAGATCACGAATTCAATTGTCCTGGGAAGAGAAAGAAAAGAATTATTGATTCAGTTGAAATAATAAATAGTAAAACAGATCAGAGTTCAATGAAGTAAACTACATAGTGTAAATATGTTGCTTATAAGAAAATAAGTTTTGTTTAGTTGTGATAAATAAATTTTTAGCTTTTGGCATAAAGAGCAAACAACTTGTACTACATGTAAAGAATAAATCAAGAAGTGCAATAATGATTTAGCACGAACAAGACTGCTGACACTTTCTTTTAGTAGCAACAGCAATTCCAATTTAAAGTCATTCAGTATAATTATGAATTTAAAGGATTTTTTAAAAACAAAATTATTTTCTATAGTACCCTCATGTATAAACGTGCAATTAGAACTATAAATTTCGTGCTAAAAGGGTTTTTAGTATATATAGACATTTTGATTGACTTTATAATGAACAAATACATTATCCTATAAAAAACTTAAATATAACTTCTTATATATAAAAATGAATCGAAAAATGTATTGGTAAGCGCATAACTCAACAACGCCTAGACCAATTTGGCCAATTATTTTTTTAAAATGTTCGTTGAAGTCCAAGGATGGTTCTTACAGCGAGGAAAAATCGAATAATTGCCGGAAAAACCCTAAAAACAGCCCTTTTCGTATTCACATACAAACGTTTTCTAACTAAAACATACAATCAATTTAAGCTTTGTTGCTATTATATAAAGTTCATATTAAATTGCAAGCACTCACTGTATACTCCTTCTAAACGATTATTCGGATTTTGATAAATCTTTCTGAAGTTTGTTAAGGAAATTTTCTATGATGTATGTGATTATAAAGTACTGGGATGTATGTGCAATATTGTAGAAATAAATGGAAAAAATAGCAAAAAACGACATGTCATTGTTTGCATTGAAAACAAATGAAAACTGTCATCTGCCAAAAATTTTAATTTACTCAAGAACTTAGACATAATTAGAATATGTAAAATAAATTTATGATTATGAATAAGAAACATGAAATGTCTACATTATTATTGCCAAAAAGCAGCTGAGATGTGCCAGAAATTAAAATAATATAAAATACAGTATATGTATGGCAGATCGAATTATACATATATGAACAAATATGACAAATTAATTCACTTAAAATATGAAATTAAGTATTAATCAGGGCCAGTCCTACCTTTAATGCAATGCATGCGAGCGCACAAGGGGCGCACAGGGGGCGCCAACACAAGATTCGGATACTAAATTTTCAATATAGTTTTTTTTCAATATATAATTTCTTTGCATCTTTTACTAATCTTTCCACAATATTTTTAAAATTCGTAACAGTTTCACTTTATAACAACAAATCGGAAAGTAGAGATGAATACATACAATTCGGCCCTCACGATATCGATTAGGAGAAGTTTAAGATGCAATTTTGGATATCTTAAATAAAAAAAAAAATTAAATTAATCCAACATGAAGTACCAGTGTTATGTTATGGTTATGATTATGTTATACCGTTTAAAAGACTTCAATTTCCAATATAGTGTGGGAAATGAGACTTATTTTATTTAAAGCAGTTCTACATTTAACATCGCTCATATTATGCATTTTGGCGTGAAAAGCAATTTAAAAAACAATAATTATTTTTATATAAACGATAAATATTAGTATATTATATTAACAAAAAATTGTAGACATTGGTACAGGACAACGTCTGTCGGGTCATCTAGTATATAAATATAAATGTGTGAAACAAAATTAAAAGTGAACTTTTTTCATATATCACAGAACAGTTCGGTTACTTATTAATCGACATTTAAATTTTTTAATTTAAATTCTATAAATATAATAAAAATCCTGCATCTCCTCGTAAATAGACAAAAATGAAAAATCATTTTAGATGTGCATTAAACGTGAGGTCTCTTGATAATTTATTTTAATCTATTTTAACTCTCTGAAGGAGTTTGTTTTTGCCAGAAAATCCGTTTCGCTAATTTTATGCAAGTCATTCTGAATCGTTTGTCATCGGAATTGCACAAAGAATATATGCGATACAAAACTTTATCTTTCGTCCATTTTTTTAAATCATTTAATAAATATTTTTAATTTAATAAAACTGGCATTGATTAGTTTTGCACAACGATCAGTCGAGCAGTTTCTTTACAATTAGCAGATAAGTTCAAATTTTTTTGTCGAAGTTTTTGCCAAAAAGCCTGAACCGATTTTAAAATTTCAAAAACCACTCGGAAGGTACCACGTTGCTGATTAGTTTTCGAAGATGGGGATGAAGATCATCCCAGCCGTTTCTTCGTAAATAATGAAACTTTGCACTTAAATAGAGTTCATGGTATTAAGGAACATCCTAAAATACCACAGACCTACGAAAAATGCTTTAATTATAAACATCCACTAACACGTTGACTGCCGCGGCAATTAAAAAACATCTGGCCAAAAATGTGAATGCGTTTTAATCACAAAAATTAATCAAAGTCATAGAAAAATAGGGTATTGCTAGTAATAACTAAAATACCAAAAGCCTACGAACAATGGTTGAACATTAACACATTGACTGCCGCAAAATTTTTAAAAAATCTTGCCACAAACGTGAATGCGATTTAATCGTAAAAAATAATCAAATTAATCGAAAAATAAAGGTTTTGCGAATTGTCTGGTAATTGGAAGTCAACGTGTTAAAGTTTGTAATAATGAGACTGCACTTTCGGGACATACACAGTGTACGCAGTTAAACATGTATATTAGGGTGGTCCTTAATATGGATATTTTCGAATTTCCTTGCTCCCAAGGGCTCAAATGGTTCGAAATTGAAGGAAAACAATTCTCTGAAAGTTTTAGCTCTTAATATTGTCTTTTAGATAGAGCGCAATTCAATCAAAGTTTTGTATGGAAATAGCATGAAAAAATGTTCAAAAATTTTACAGAGCGTCGAATTTTCAATAAAAAATGACATGATTTTTCACCTTAAATTCAATTATCGCTAAGTTATACCTAAAAATTTTTTTTTATAATTATCTAAAAAAATTTCCATGCTATTTCCATACGAGGTTTGATTGAATTGCGCTCTATCTAAAAGGCAATATTAAGAGCTAAAACTTTCAGAGAATTGTTTTTCATCAATTTGGAACCATATGAGCCCTTGGGAGCAAGGAAATTCGAAAATGTCCATATTAAGGACCACCCTAATGTACATACAATGCAACTTTCTTCAATGAAAAATACCACATACACCTAATTTTTTGTAAAATGTGGATTAAATGCAGAATGTTATGATGGGGATCAAACATAATTAGATTTATTTGCTGAGTCACAAAACGCAGTACACCACAACCACAACTTCAAACAATCGAATGCCAATAACTATTATGGAACAAATCCAAACAAACATCATAAACCATCACACAAATTATCAAACAATTATCATTTTACATGAAATTCAGTCCATTTCCGCAAATGACGTCGACGAGAAACAACATCGAACATCGAACATCGCATGTCCCGAGTGAGAATGTACTACTACGAATCGAATTAATTTATTACGGGATCTCTTTATAATCTAATTTTGAACATGCTGGACGAGTGCCAAATATAATAATGTCAGCATTTTCCAGAAAAACGACCGACGACCGACGACCGATTTGAAAACATTGCCGGGAGTGATGGCAAACACCAGGACGACTAGGGTACCTTACTAACCAGAAAAATATATTCATTCGTAAAATAATCAAAACAAAAAACATTGTATATTTATATATAAACAGTACTTGAAACATATCAATATTTTGCCAATAGGATACTTTGCATATCTGAATCTAAGTATATGGAAAATGGTTAATAGTGTTACTTCAATGGTTGCTTCAATGGTCTAATGATCATTTTTGACCGCAAATGGTATTTTTTTTACTTTTCTACTAGATCTCCGGAATCGCTAGACCTGCCTTCATGAAAATTTGAACAGTTCTTCATCTTGTCAATACAAGTAAAATGTTTTTTGAATTATTAAAATCGGACGCTCCGTTCTCGTAAAGACTGAGTTACCGTTTTTGGCACTTTTTGCCCCGTATCTTCGGAACGGCTAGACCTGTCTTTGCCAAAAACTAATCAGCATGTCTCCTTATCAATACGAATCGAATGTTTTTTGAATCATTCAAAACGCTTCATCCGTGTTCCCGAAATCGTCGACGAAAATTTGTATCCGCACACACACACACACACGCACACACACATACATACATTTTTTCTAAGGTATGCCAAAATGTTCAGAAGGTTTTGAAACGTAAAGATATATAAACATTTTCATTTTCTTTTTTTGCGATTACTATAACTTGCCCTACGGGAAGTCTATTGGAATTTCCCTAGAAGATTTTTCTCCATTAACTTGCAAAAATCTTATGCTCACTCGTCTAGAATTTGATAAAACATAGCAATTGCAAAATTAATATTCAAAAGCAACCCCTCAAAATATTATAGGCTGATGAGATAAAAAAAAAAGTATAAACTGTCCCTGACGAATTCAACATAAAATTAAAATTTGGGAGTGCTCCCTAACTACAAGACCATCCTGTCATTGATATAATTAAAGCCTAAATTAAAATTGATATAAATTATAAGCCTATAATATCTGTAAAACAATTTTGAGCTTAGATTTCTTCAGCAAAGTTTTTTGAAACAACCTCACTAGTATATTAGTGAGTCTACTAGAAAATTAATCTAGTAACAAAAATTTAAACAAAATCTGATTATCAGTAACAACAATCGAAGGTACACTGATACATATTTAACACTTTCATTGTCCACGACAAGAACTCAAAAACCAGAAATATTTTAATTATTACAATTACCAACAGTTCATTGATTTTATATTACAACAATTGGTAAATGCAGAAAGCTCTTCCTGTTTGTAAACATTTATACATTCAACCTGTTTCAAGCATAATTAACTCTATACTGTTTCGACTAGTTAATAAACATTTCTCCTCACATTTATAAAATTTTGATGAACAAGAACTAAAGAAAGACGACTAAATTTATCTATTTTAGTTTATAAATATCCTCGAAAGTGTAACAGAACTAAAAAACCACAATTAATACATCTAATATTGCTCAAATTGTAAAATATAGAAAATTCTCCTGCCCTTAATAAAACTATAATCTTGAACACGTGAGATCTTGATTCTTTTAACCCAGTGTAACCATATTTGTAATTATAAATGACAATTGAATACTGGAAATATATAAATCAAACAATATTATAATTGTAAATCATCTTAAATCCAATCTACTTTTCCCAATTGCATAATAAGAACTAAAAAAAAAGCAACCAAAATCATCCAATATAGTTCATAAATATCCTCAAAACTGTAACAGAACTAAAAAATCACAATTATTACATATAATTCTACTCGTATTGCTAAATATAGAAGATTCCTCCCATCCATACTTAATGAATACTACTGTTTCAACTTGTTAATGTTTTTTTTAATCCTGTGTATTAATATCTGTAATTATAAATGACAATTGAATTTTGGAAATATAAATCAAAGGAAAAGATATTGTAGACAATAACTATTGTCTTACGATTACTGTAAACAAATTGAATTAGGTTTTGTCAACTCAAAGCACTATCGTAGAATAATCCAATCTAGTTTTCCATATTGCACAACAAGAACTAAATAAGGGCAACTAAAACTATCTACTATAGTTTATAAATATCCTCCAAACTGGAACAGGAACAAATAAATCACAATTAAACCATCTAATTTTAATCCAATTATTAAATATAGAAAATTCCTAACCTAACCATACACCAAGAAGTCAACACTGTTTCAAAGAGTTAATAAAAATATCCTTTTGAGCCCATGTTCTTTTAATAAAGTGAGCCATAGTTGTATTTACAAATGACAATTGATTACTGGAAATAAATTATGCAAACGAGAAGATAAATGCGCAATGACAAAATCAATAAATATTATAAAAATTGCTGTAAACAAATTGAATTAGATTTTGTCAACTCAAAGCACTAAGGTAGAATAATCCAATATACTTTTCCATATTGCACAACGAGAACTAGAAGAAGACAACAAAAACTATCTACTATAGTTTATAAATATCCTCCAAACTGTAACAGGAACTAACAAACCACAATTAATATATATAATTTTAATCGAATTATTAAATATAGAAAGTTCCTAACCTAACCATACACAAAGAAGTCTACTCTGTTTCAACGAGTTAATAAAACTCCTTGAATTCATGAAATCTTGCTCTTTTAATAAAGTGAACTATTACAAATGACTATTGAATACTGGAAATAAATAAATCAAATGAGAAGATAATTCCACAATGACAAAAACAATAAATTAGGTTTTGTTAATCAAAGCACTGTACTGTGGTAAGTATTATTAAATATAACAGATAAAATGGTATTATTCTCATTTGACAATGACAGCACATAATTCAATAAACGTCAGATACGTTGCACACGTAAATATTTCCGATAATAAATCAAAATAGCAATCGTGCTCAAAATAGTGCAGACGTGTTCGTCGAAATTTGTTTTATAAACAATAATGAAACCTAAATACCTCGTATGGCACTCGCACAAATGGTCCCCCTTAAACAAAAACACTTGACAATCATTTTTCACATGAAATTAATTCCGGATTCCATGCAGGTGCTTGAAAATAACAAAAATGTACAATTTAACTAGGATATAAGCGAAAATAGCGAAAGAAGGGTTATTTATAGAAGCGCTGTCATTGTCCCGAATTATGCAATAGCACGAATTTAGAATTAAATATGCCATAACTCACCTCGGCGACTAACATTTGTACAGTACTTGCTGGAAATACACACTGATATTGATATTAAACACGTTTTTATGATGTTCTCATTTTTAAATGACTTTTTGTTATTATTTCGCGTATAAAATCATTCGAGCGCACACACTAGAAATATCGGATGACAGCGACATAGAGCGCTCAGCGATTTTAATCATAGACCAGAAAACGGAAAACTTTCGACTGAAGATAAAACCAGGACGGAATTGACTTTAAAATTTAGACTGCGATAAATAGATTTACTAAAATTTAATGTTTACGAAACGAATGTTGCAATTCATGATATGTTTGCTTGAAATTTAATCCCCCGAAAATGTCACCTGATGGTCAAACTGGGAACGACATTTTGCGCGCAATTTTCAGTTTGTGGAAACAAAAACAAAAATACAAAAAAGACTTATAAATATTTATAAATAGACAGATATCTGACATAAATAATATTTAATTATAACAAATATTATTTAATAGTTTCGATTAATTTAAGCACGAGCAAATAATTAAACGATACAAGATTAGTCAATAAACAAACCAAGGCTATTCTAACAAGCAAAGTTTATAAAATTACTATGTTACATAGTAAATAGAGTAAATTATATGTAAAATATTAAATTTAGAATATAATATTTATATAATAATTAAAACAATGTTTATAATGTATAAATCAAATTCAAATTTAAGATATTTGTACGTTTGTGTTGGCATCTGACACAAAACCATAAGAACTGCAAACTTCAGGCCTTTTTAGCAAGATGGCACCACTGGCCTACTTCAATTCAAAATGGCAGCTGTCAAATTTAAATTCAAAATGTAATTCATTAATTCCTGAATACGTTTAATTAATACTGTGCTTAAGATCTCATTTAATTAGAGATTTCAGTTATTTGTTCATTCTAATCCGAAAGTCTGCATAATGAACATTTATAATTATATAAAAGTGTTATATGGTTGCAAATGGATGAATTTTTAGTAAGTTTTTTGTGTTTAATTTTAAAATCATGTATTTTACTTATTGTTAGTGCTCCCAGAAGTCTACAATTTTTTGTTCTATTTTTTTTTT